CAGGCCATTTCCGTTACAATATAGTAACCAAAAATTAATCGTTATTAAAAACTGAGAAAATTCGAAGTGTGTAAGTATTGTTTGATGTTATAGATCGCAGGATACCCTCTAGGTGATAGTTCTTGATTACTTTTTGATAAATAATTCGTTCTTATTGCGAAATAGGAGCACCTTTTATCAATCTGTAATAGAAGACGTGAGGAAATTCCGTCTTTTTTTAAGACAAAAATTTTTGAGGCGAAATACCCAAAAAGAAGTTTGTAAAAAAATGAAAAAAATAAATATATAGTTTTTATTTAATGGGCTTTTTGTCATAATGTTAAGAAAAAATATAGAACATAATACCTAAAGTCTGTCCAAACTCGCACGACGGCGCCAGACCGGCTTGGCGCGGCCCTGCTAATCCTCCAGTCCCAAACCTGCCCAGGAAGTGTTTGCCCTCCGAACTGAGGCAAAAACCCAAACAATTTTGGCTATTTCAGGTCGATCCCATCGACGCAGGAACAGACAATGGCTTCACCTTCACCGCTCCGAATTGGCCGACAGAACCACAAGGCGAAGCCTACAGGATAACAGCCCAATATCCCGCCCATCCGGCAGGGTCATTCTTCTACCCGTACCTCAAACGGTTGCCCCCAATCGCCACCTTCCAGTTCATCAAGGTAAAGCGCGTCTTCTCCCTTTGTGTCTTGGTGGGCTTGAGGAAATTTCCCCATTTGTTGCAGGTGAAGGAATACGAGCTATCGGAAGTGTTCCATCACTCGGAGGACGATCGCAAGTACGACGTGCTGAAAATGGAGAATCTGCAGGTCCGGAACGACGCGACCTCCAGGGACAACAACGACATACAGACGGCGATTGAGGAGGAGCGACAAGAGCAGGAGGTCCATGTGAGGCCCAAGCCCAAGCCCAGGAGCAGGACGAGCAGCTATTACACGGCAAATAACTACTACAAACAGTACACTTTGTCAACGCCGCTGAGCACCAGCACCTCCAAGTTCAGCAGCACTGATAGCAACAGCTTGAGCAACACAATGTGAGTGACCCACATTTTACTGTTAAAGCCAGTTTACACGCTCAAGCCATCTGAACGATTTGGCTTGCGCAAGCCAGATCTGTGCAGATGAACTGAACGAAAATCTGGCGTTTACACGTTCAGTTC